TCTGCATCCCCACTTGTCGCTTTCAGCATTGCAGGTGACGAAGGATACTTTGCCTGGAGAATGAGACCTCTAGAAGCATCCTAACTCAGCCTGCCACCCAGCTTGCATTTTTTAAGCAAAAAGGAATTACAGCTGCAGGACAGACTGCTGGGGAATATGGGGAGAAACACTGTTTTGTGTATTCTATAGCCTGGGCAGCCCCATCCTGCACCCAGCCATGCCGGTGCTGCACAAACACCGAGCACAAAGTGATCCCTGCTGGACTGAAGAAAACAAAAAGCTTTGCAGCCTCTCTGCATTTGGGTAATAATAGCAGCAGATGAATTCCACATTTCAAACAAGGGTAAGACATTAAACAGAGCCTCTGTAGGAAGATTAGGTAGAATATAAAAAAAAAATCCTTATGTCCTTGGCAATGAGCTGATTGGCAGCAAAAGCCAATTGGCAGCAAACAGCCTCTTGGTGCCCTGTGAAACTGAGTGTATTAGAGTTCAACAGCTTGCCCAAAGGCTAGGGGCTGCAAAACATGGAGTACAAAAATATCTGTGATACCTTCATCAGGCCCCACTCAGAAACTCACTACATCACCAGGTTCATAGGCATCTGTGAGCTTGTTACCCCACTCTTCCCAGAAAGACGGCGTAAGGGCACTTCAGCAAGCCTGAGATGCCAACGTGAAGAGCACCTCACCTTCTTCAGCACAAGAGGCTGGAGGCTGGGCAAGCAGGGCAGGAATAAAACAAAGTGAAGCAGCAGTAAATTGTTTTCCCTGGTACAGCTGCACAGGGAGAAGCTACAAAAACATTAACCCTTTTTCAGGCTCCTACAGGTGTTTTTGAGGCTGAAAGTCAGAAACAAACATTAATCAAGGCAAGCAGAGATTGAAGAAAAATGAAAGGGGTGGGGAGGAATCTCTTACATCCATCCTTTTTTTTCTTTTATTTCTTTCTTTTTTTTTCCTCTTTTTTTTTTTTTTTTGACTTAACGGTTATTTCTGTTCTGCATACTATAGGGGAAGCACTGTACAGAGGGACCTGGGAGTCCTGGTGGCCAGCATGCTGTTCCATTGTGGCCAAGAAGGCCAACAGTGTCCTGGGGTGCATTTGGAAGAGTGTTACCAGCAGGACAAAGGAGGTGGCTCTGTCCCTCTACTCAGCCCTGGTGAGGCCACACCTGGAGCATTGTGTCCAGTTCTGGGCACACCAGTACCAGAGGGATACAGAGCTACTGGAGCAATTTCACAGGAAGGCCACTAAGATGATTAGGAGACTGGAGCACCTGTCATACAGGCACAGGCTGAGAGAACTGGGCCTGTTTACTTTGCAAAAGAGAAGACTGAGGGGAGACCTCCTCGATGTGTACAAGTATCTGAGGGGACAGTGTTGAGAGGATGGAGCCGGTCTCTTTTCAGCTGTGCCCAGTGACAGGACAAAAGGCACCAGGCACAAACTGAAACAAACAAGGTTCTGGCCGAGTATGAGAGGTGCTCTTCTTTACTGTGAGGTGACAGAGCACTGGGACAGGCTGCCCAGAGAGGTTGTGGAGTCTCCTTCTCCGGAGATATTCAAAACCCGCCTTGATGCCATCCTGCACAACATGCTCTGGGTGATCCTGCTCAGCAGGGGTGTTGGACTAGATGATCATCCAACCTGAGCCATTCTGTGATGCCACTGACTCAAAGTGCAGTTTTCACCCTTTCAAAACAGCCCTTTGACACCAATGTTCCTAGCACCCCACCACACCTGGAGGCACCTCCTCTTGTCCACCACACTGTCTTCCAGGGCCAGACTGCTGCTACATGAGGCAGGTATAAAATAGAGAGACCTTCCAGTAGAAGTTTCAGACAGAAATCTCAAATCCAAAACATTACAGATGTCAGTGAAGCAAGTCTGCATGTTAGCGGGAGACATCGTTCCTCTGTCTTGCTATCCAACTTCAGAAGAAAAAAAAATCCCATCCATTTTACAGTTTCAATCAAAATAATTCATGTCAACAATCAAGATTCCATTTAAATACCCTGTTTTCTTTAAGAAACAGCTTTTAGACTGATGATTTAAGAAAACTAACATCAAAGTCTTAATTTATTAAAATCTATTAGAATCTGTTTAAAGACATAAGAAGCATGAAACTTCAACAAGCTGTTAGGTTTGCAGCTGATATTAAATTAGGAGGAGCTGTTGACTCCCTTGAGGGTAGAAAGGCTTTGCAGAGATATCTTGACATATTAGAGGGCTGAGCAATCACCAACAATATGAGATTTAACAGGAGCAAGTGCCGGATTCTGTACTTGGGACGGGGCAACCATGTCTGTATGTACAAACTGGGGAATGAGACTGGAGATCAGCCCCACAGAATAGGATTTGGGGTTTTGGTCCATGGCAAGTTGCAGATGAGCCAGCAGTGTGCCCTGGCAGCCCTAAGGGCAAACCTTACCCTGGGTGCCTCAGGCCCAGCGCCGCCAGCCAGACAAGGGCAGGGTTTGTCCTGCTCTGCTCTGAGCTGTGTGGCCTCACCTCGGGCACTGTGTGCAGGTTGGGGTGCCATGGTGTGAGAAGGACACAAAGCTGTTAGAGGGTGTCCAAAGGAGGGCAAAGATGATGAAAGGCCTAAGGGCAAGATGTATGAGGAGTGGCTGAAGTCATTTGAATTGTTCAGCCTGGAGAAGAGGAGAGAGACTGAGGGGAGGCCTCATGGTGGCCTGCAGCTCCCTGATGAGGGCAGTGGAAGAGCAAGTGCTGAGCTCTGCTCTCTGGGGACAGCGACAGGACCTGAGGGAATGGCATGGAGCTGGGACAGGGGAGGGTCAGGCTGGGGGATAGGGAAAGGGTCTGCACCCAGAGGTGGTCGGGCACTGGGACAGGCTGCCCAGGGCAGTGGTCACGGCACCGAACCTGCAGGAGTTCAAGAAACATTTCTACAACGCTCTCAGACACATGGTCTGATTTTGGGGTGGTCCTGTGAGGAGCCAGGAGTTGGACTTGATGATCCTTGTGGGTCCCTTCCAACTTGGGATATTCTATTTTGCTCTCTTCAGTGAGTTAAAAGGTGCTGTTTTTCAGTATGCATGAAACATGGGGGCTCAGGAAGATAACCCAAGTTTTACCAACATATTTTGATGTCCTGACCAACAGGTAAGCTTACACACAGATCTCATCTTTAAAACACACCATTTCTGCTACGTGGGAAAAAAGAGGTGTTTAACAACATGTATCCAAATAACTAGTGCAGAGGGACTCTCCATTTCTACAAGAAAAAGCCAAAAAAAAAAAAAAGAGAAAGGCTGTTCATTTTTCTCTTCTCATGGATGAGCAGACACCTGTGTAAGGACAAGAATTACTCACTCTGAAGAGTCGAGAGAGATAAGGCGCAGATTTTCTGAGACATTAAGGACCCAAGGACGGCATTAGGAAGCTTTTCATGTGACATCAGACATATCCGATATCTAAATAACATTTTTCACTGACAGAATCACCACAACATACTGAACCTGACTCACATCTTCATGCACTCGGGGAAGCCTACTCTATCATAACCAAATTATCATTTACTATTGTCCTATTTTGCAATAAAATCCAGCTGCAATATCGCACCATATTGTGGGAAGACAAACACACATAACAGTTAGATTTTTCACACTTCCAGTATCAGTGGCAGCAAAATAAAGAACATTAATCTGAATAATATTTCCTAGAAAGAGCTCTCACATGTAATTAGTTTTTCTAAACATTATTTCCTTACTTGAATTGGCATGTCTCTTACATAAGTGTTATCTTATATAAGTTAGTGACCTGTCTAGAGAAACACCTCACCCTGTAACAGCCACAGGGTAATTACACCAACAGAGGAGGCAGTAGAAAGCATTTACAGAAGGATGAACACTTGCTCCAAAAGGACAAGCAGGAGCTGGGAGAAGACAGGAAGGAAATAATGAGAGGAGAGAAGGTACTTATGACTATGAATCACGCATATCCCTAGACAGACATCCTTCCATTAATGATGAATATCCTAATTCCCCTAAATAATGCAAGGAAAAAATGTTTAATCATTTAAAGGTATCATCAATAATAAATACGTCAGTTCCATATGCTACCATCACTGTTCTTCCCTGCTCAGGAACTGTTTTAAGGAAAAGACTAAAACCACCTTTCCATTTTGGAAAGATGCTTCAATATCACAGCCACGAGAACTAAGGAAGTACTTGAGACAGAGAAATGGGAGGCAGAGCATGCTCACACCCTGTGCAGAGGAAAACCTCTTTATACCATGACTGCCATTCCTATGTGATAGAGGAGCAATGGAAGCTTAGTTCTCGTCTGCTCAGGGAAAACATGCACAAGCCCAGATATGCACTGAGAGTTTGGCTCACCTCCAGCCAGCTCCCAGGGCTACCCCAGCAGCTTTTCCACAGTGGACCTCACTGAGAGCAAACCAAGTGGATGCTCTCAGTCTTTTGGCCACCCCACCATGAGCAAGGAAGCAAGTGGGATGTGGGAGGATCGAGGGCAGGACCAGGACACGAGGTGACAGGTGCTCAAGCACAGGGCATGGAAAACAGCAAGAAGAGATGTGCAGGGCAGCTGCACTCCAAGTTTCCAGGGTCAGCTCAGAGAGCTGCCACATGCCAGCTGCGCCAGCGAGGGACACAGCCAGGGGAAGGCACCCATGTGAGGACAAGCACAGATCCTGGGACAAAAGGAAGGGACCACAGGGGAGGCAGCGTATCCACTGCCTGCAGCACCACAGACCTAAGAGTGACTGCACAGGGCTCCAGAAGCAAGACCATACACGAGGGGTACAGAGATGCTACGTGTGCACTAAGACCTGGTCTGCACAGGGAGAAGTAGGAAACAATACCTTTTCAATACTACATTTCTGAGGAAGAGCAAAATGCGTTTTAAGAGCCCTAAGCCCCATTGCTGCAACACTGCCAGCAAAACACACCGTGCTCAGGGCAGAGCCCCTCCACATCCCCAGAAAATCCTGCAGGTTTCCCAGCTCACCTCAGCACGAACTCCTCTCAGCCAGCCACCATCTCGTCAGAGCTCCAGTCGCACCCTCCCCTTGGTATGGGCTGTCCTGACATTATGTTCTGTCGTGATGAAATCATTATCTCAAGGGCTGCTGCTGCCATGGCACTCCCAGTGACTGAAAGCAAATGAAACAGATAAACTGTGCAGAACCGCTGTGAAGAGTTACAGGTGTATGTTTTTTGGGCAGTCCTACTTGCCTTAGCAGTATGGGAGAAGGGTAAGGAAATAAGAGGTCAAAACCCTGAAAAGACACCATATTTCCAAACTGCGAGTACATTTTCCAGAAAATCCTTTCCCCTCCAAATACAGGATGGGTGTAGGAAGCAAGGGAATCAAGTTTCATAGAAAAAAAACAAAACAGTGCAAACTATGCCAAAGTACTTTACTGGAATCCCTAAAATAAAGGAGGGTAACCACCCTCAGGGAAGATCTAAATCCAATCCTTTAGAGCCATGTGAAGCATGCAGTGTCTCACAGCAAGAAAACCAGCCTGCTGTCTCTGCCAAATTTCTATCAGGGTTTGGGGTGGAACAAAAGGTCTGTGCCACCAAACCTTGATATGTATTGTTTCAACTTTTTCTCTTTTCCCTTGGAGTCACTCTTCCGATTCAATATCTGTACTATTTTAAGCAACTCTGCTAAAAAACATGATTGGGCTGACCATAAAAATCTTTTCCACTGGAACAAAGATTTAAACCTGTGACTCAAAAAGTCTTTACAATGGGGGGCTGATTATCAAGAGGACCAGAATATCCTCTTATTAGAAAAATGTTCACTGGTCTTTCCTGAACCTCATGCAGTGGTATTAACTCAATGGCTTGTACAGTTGCATACAGGCAAAAAAAGGCTGTTTTCGATTCAGGGAAAAATGTGTGTTGTAATAAAGCAAAAGGAGCACATATTTGTGTATGTGAATGTGTGCATGTGTATCCATATATGCACATACTTGCATAAACACACACATCCTTCTGATTACTGTCAGCAAAAGAGATATATAGAAAAATATGAAATCGGAGAAAACAAGGTCGGAAGGGATCAAAGGACATACTCCACCTACTTGCCTGAAGAAAAACAAGCCTCATTAAGACTTTTCTATAATTATTGTTTCTTTATTACAGTAGCAGGTGTCATGGGAAAAATAAGGGCCCTACTTAAGTTCTATGAAAATACTTAAGGCAATTTTAAAGAGATCTAGAGAGGAGTACTAGACTTCAGATAAAATTAATATAGGGTACTCCTAAAGGAATAAATCAGTTTATATTATATATATATTTTAAAGTCTTATTTATATTGGTACAGTATTCATATAAAAACCAACTATTAGCAAAGGGGCAGGGTGCACAGGTTGGGCAGCAGCCCAGGCAGAGGCAGAACCACAGCCCAGGGCTGGGGAAGCCCAATAGTGCCCATAAGGAAATGTTTCCCAAGCACTGAGCACACAGATGTGGTGTGAACTCCCCCAGATCCACCACCAAATCTCCCTTCAGCCTCACCAACACAGGTAGCTGTTTCTGCTCTTTCACACTACACCTCCGTGCCGTGACAATTTCACCAGTTTTTCTGCTGGTTTTTGGCTGGCTCAGTTTGCCACACTGCTTGAGCTGCATCTATCACTACCACAGGGCTTTGATACTGAAAACGGTCAGCACGAGGCCACTGAAGCCACAAAGATGACGGAAGCGAGGCAGGTCTTAGAAAGGGCCCCACAGCTCCAACACCAAAGGTTGAGATAGATAAACCAGGGCAGCAGCACACAGCCTGAGAAACCCTGCCCTCTTTATCAAGCCTTGCTGACAAAACATCAAAGGAAAGTATGCATAAAATCCACAGTTTGCTGTTACACAGAAGGGTAGATTAGATTTTAAGGCAGCAAGTAATCAGCAACAAGCCTAGGAACTCACTTTATAAATGTCAGAGCAGCATCGTGTAATAGAGACTTCTGTCACACTCACAGTGACCTGGATCTGAGCTAGCACCCGTAGAGGAAAAGTTCTGGAAGACTTCCTATCCCATTTCGTAAGTCCTAGAGCCAAAGTCTGGTCTCCTGGCAGGCAGAGAGAACATACGCAGCAACTGAATCCAAATTAAAAATAAATAAATAAATAAAAATTACCATGGGGATCAGAGCACAGTATGTAAAACTTTTATTTACAAGTTTTCTGGCTGCTCATTTATCAGCAGAATTCACTGGAAAACTCAAAGGCAATCAGGCAATCATCCTTTCACAAGCTTGCTTTGCTCAGTGTGGCTCCTGCACAAAACTGTATGCTGAAAACATCAACAGGGTGACATGAGCCGATTGCCTCTCGAAGCAGCTGCAACATACGTTCCTCTTGCTATGTCAAAAAACATCTCTCAATTTCTACAGTATGCAATAATTATTTTGCTAATCACAGGGTGCTCTGCGCTTCTCAAGCTGAATTATTATTATTACAGTTGGCTCAGCTGCAAACGCGTCTGCTTTCCAAACACACAGCACTCGGCTGAAAAAGAGGGGTGGGGGGGCTCTAATCCTTCACTGGCTGCAGCACAGCATAAACCAGTGAATGGCATTCCAGCATGTAATTTCTTTTAACAGGAAAAATAACGTCTTTCAGGAGGTTTTCCATTTTAAGTCAGAACAGAATTACCACAAAAACAAGGAAAAAAAATACTGGGCAAGGCAACATAACACTTACTATGTCCTTCTTTCAATTCACCAGCTCAGAGCCATACTTATCTCTCAACTTCAGCCTAGAAACATATTTCATTTAGAAAAACTTTGTAGCTGCTTAAAAGAGACACTGAAGCAGCAAAGGCCACACACTTAGATACTGGGGAGAAAAAAAAAAAAGAGAGAGAGAGGGGAAAAAAGATTTATCTGTCTAGATGCTGTAAGCTAGCTGAAATCTGCCACCTACAACTCATAAACAATCTCTCCAGTGAGCACGCATGACTTGGGCACATGCCAGCCTGAGCTTGAAATGTTGTGGTAGAAAACGATCTGGTCTGGCCAATTTCTAGCCATCTATTTCACTTTCACCCACTTTCTTCTAAAACATCTGGCTTTGGCCAGGGCCAGCAACAGGATGCTGTATGAAAAACAGGAGCATCTGCCCCACTACTGCAGGTCTGTTGCATTTGAGCCCAAAACGTAGGAGGAGCAGGAGTGCAAGCATTGCCATCAACACTAACCTGGAACAACCCCGGACGGTGACAGCTCTGCATTAAGTAGATCGGGCTTTTAAAAACAATTCCTCCTGCCAGGCTACCTCAGACATGACTCGCTCCTTATCCGTTTCAAGGCAAGGTCTCTCTGCACCTCCCATGTCAAACAGCCCCATACTGAAGGCTGCAGCTGGTAAAGAAGTTCACGTGCTATTGCATGGGGATGTGGGACTGACAGCACCACCAAACTCTTCGTTAGATAAACAGTCTGCTGCCACTCTGAACTAAACCAGAGCAAAAAAATCTCATTCAGGCATGCAAGGGAAACAGGATCAGGCCCCAGGGTCTTGAAAATAGAAATTCACCCTAACAATTGGCACTAGCTGGTCCTTGTGGGCAAGAGTCACCAGAAAGATCAAGTTATGGATGTGTCCTGAAATAGCCCCTTGCCCAATGGGGGCAGAGGTGGGTAAACAGGACACATCACAGCTTGGAGAGGAGTCTGCACTGCAGAGACATTCAGAAAAAAAAATGAAGAGTCATCCTGAGTGAAACATAACACTCAGTGTTTACATCTCGTTTAAGAAGTCTCACATATTATCAGCAACATGAACTGTTGGGTCTGGAGCTTGGCTTCTGGGCATTCACCCTGCTGATACCCCTTAAAATTTTTGTGATCGCGTTACATCTTCCCGAGAGGCGACTGCCACCCAAATGATGAAAGCCCCCTCCACAGACACACTTGCATAAACCACGCTTGTTAGAGAGATCACCCGACCTGACCTCCGAGGAGTGCGGGCTGAGCACGTTCAGGAATTGCCACCCGTTGGAGAAATGCTCGGGCACAATTGCCAACGCCGCAAACAGCAGCCTGGAAAGTGCTGGCTTCCCAGCACGGGAAATGCAGTGCTGAGTCCTGGGATTTTTTGGAAAAAAACAGCTGTGCAAGCAAAGCCATCCAACCGACTTGCTCACTGCCCTGGGCCCACGGGGCTAACGCAGCCAAGAATAAAACGCCTGCCACAAAGTGATATTGAGCATGTTCTTCAAATTGCCAACATCAAAGCATTTCCGAATCTCAGATCCCTCTGCTTCTATAATCAGAAGCAGTCAAAATACTCAACTTTATAGCCGACAAGTCAAACTAAAAGACGCTGAGCTTTACAGCTCTCACTGCTTTCATGGAAATTGCAAGTGTTGTACAGGACGGTGCCTCGGCTCTGTTTAAAATTCCCTCTGCTGCCCATGCTGCGGGGCCGGCACTGCCATGTGCTGTCCCCACACAGCATTTTCTTGCAGGGACATGGTCTGATCAGACAGATCGAACTGTTACCATCACACACAAGCCAGCCTGCTCAGCCGCTGGCACCCCCAGGAGCCCTCTGTTCCTGCATAGCACCGGACCAAGTGGCTGAGCCCAAACCGGGGCCAAATCCTTCAGGAGGGGGGGAAACGGATTCAAAACCAGGGTGGAAAGCCCCAGGCTTGCAGCAAGGCGGAATGCCATTAAAATTAGCAGCAGACAGATAAGGGAGCTAATTGCTGGAATGCAGGCCCAGAGCTCTGAGCACAGCCTGCAATCACCAGCAGTGTAGGGAAGTAGCACTATGGCCATTAACCCCACTTATACCCTTCAGTTCTTACCATCAGGTCTGAGGTGCATTATACTCACTTAGAAGCTGCAACCTGAAGTCAGTAAGAGAAGCAAAAATGGACAGGTTGACACTCATTTACAGAGAAGAGAAATGGGAGCAGCTATTCCTTTTTTTTAACTCCTCAGGCAGCAGCTGGCTCTCAGGGGCATGCAGAGATGCTACCAGGATGCTTGGCCGATCTGTCTCTGAGAACGTACCAGCCGCACAGAAGAGAAATTATAAAGAGGAATTATAAAACACCTTGGAGCAGAAGGAGGCAGAAACATGCAGGGTAAAAGGTAAGCAATGAATAGCCAGAATAGGAAAGAAAGAGGAAAGAAGGTAAGAAAAAAGGGAAATACTCATATGAAAAACACCACAGGCATAAAATTCTAACATGAAGTGGAACAGAAAAAGAGAAGTGGATGGAAACTAAGAGGAGGAAGCAACTAGAAAGTTAAAGCAACAATGATTTCACAAGTGTTTGCCTATATAAACATTCCTAAAACATACTTAGATATAGATACAGATATATACATACACACCCAAGCAGAATTGTGTTGTGCTTTACCTATGTTGCCCTGAATAGAAGTTAATGCTTTACCACAGGCCTCTGACAGACAGGTCAGCACAGACAGCTTCCACAGAGAGGTGTTTTTTTTACAGCAAAAGCAACACAGAAGCCATGTAAGAAAGCTCACAGCAGGGCAGCATGTTTACAGCTGCCACATCAGGCATGCACAGAGAGCCACGGAGGGCTATCAGTGCTAATATTGGCATTACATATAGCACCACCGAGAGCTTGAGATACCTGATGTGTCTTTCTGTGCTTGACATCATATAAAAATAGAATAGAAAGGCCAGTCTCTGTCCCACAGACCCAATGACCAAGGCAAAAAAATATATGGAAAGTAAAAGCAAATAAGGCAGACTAAGAGGAGTGGAATAAGAGATATGCAAAAGGAGATACCATCCCCTCAGCATACATGGCAATCCTGGATGGGCACATCCAAAAGTCTTGCTTTAAAAAGGCATCTGGGAAGGGGTGAACCACAACAGAGCACAAGCAAAGACCCACCCATTCCCTCTTCTCCAAATTCCCACTTAAACCACTAATGGAAATGGTACAAAGAACCCCCATTACTTAACCAGCAGTAAGTAGTAACCCATATCAAAATCACCACATCCATCAAACCACCCAGCAAACAACCCCAGCTAATGTGGCCACAATGTCCACCATGATCCCGACTTTACAATTCCTTTTCTGCATGCTGGTTTGTTTAAATATCACATTTTAGGACATTCAAAACAGATGGGGACCAAAAGTCATACACGAATTAACTTCTGTGAGTCCATCCACAGGGTGGTAAAGGAGGTGATGTAATTAAGTATAGTAATTTAACATTTAAAATGTCAGCTAGATAAAATGGTTTGTTTTGACCACATTAACATGATAGGGTGTTACAAATCAATCTTGTCTGTGCAGAAAATTCCTGGTAATTAACGCTAGTTTGGAGAGGGTGAAGAGCGGAAAGGCAGGACAGGGTTAAGGATGTCTGGGCACTTACCTCAATCTCATTACTTCCTCTTTTATATATATATATTCTGAAAAAGCACAAATCACTGCAAGTAATGGGAATTCCAGTCAAATATGTTTTCCTCAATGCTCAGATTAAAGACTGAAGTCATCACAACATTACCTTTCAGCTAATGTACTAAGTAATGAACTCACATCTGATACATGTTGTTTCTCCTCTTTCTTCCAACCCAGCAGGGCCTGGTTTTGCTTGTGTGTTCCCTAACTATCTTTAATCATTATGTGAAACGTTGCTGTATATTTAGAAAAAGGACTGTCAAGGACAACATACCTTGCACTTGGAGCAGAATATGATGAGTTTTGTGGTGGTCCTTATCACCCTGGGATGCCCAGTCCCTCCATGTGAACCTGGACCCTCAGAGAGCAGAGCTCCATTTCCTTGCAGAAAACTCCTCTAGTCTCTGGCACAAAGATTTAAGCAGTCCTTCCGCTACCTGAGGTGACAGAGGGAGCACCTTGAAAAGAGAACAGAAGACCTCTGCTTTATCTGTATTTCCAACAGAAGCCTGCATAGAAATGCATCGTAAGCTGCCCACGCTGCAGAGATGGGCTGCAGCTTTCTGGTCTGGATGGAGTTTCCCTTGCTTGCAGGCTCCCGGCTCAGGTCTTTCATTGCTGCTGTCAAGACAAGATGCATTGAATGTCAGCATAACCAAGAGCAGGACTCTGCCTGGGAAAATGGCATTTATCCTCTCAATGAGCCAGAGATGATGGAAAGATGGGCACTGTTACAGGAGAGTTTATCATCAGAAAGAGTTCAAGAGCACTCCTAACCTACCAACTCAAGTGACCAGCTATGGATGTGGTATGGAGCCACCAGGAAGGCAGCAGATTCTTCAACCCCTTCCTCATGCCTGTCAGCTTTTCTGCACTGCTGGAGCTCAGCTTCAGAGACTTGCTCTTCACCCCTGAGCCAACAGTGTCTAACAATTCGTCTCTCTGGCAGCAGCGAGATGCAAAAGGGTAAACAGAGCTAAGGCTTATCGTCACCGTTGAGTGCCCCAAGCATGGAAACTGGTGGGAGAAGGCAGTACCATTGTTTCTCCCTGGGTACCAGCCACCCCAAAAGGACTTGAACATGATTACAAGATCCTTCTTCTAGACCCACTGTGGCCTGCCATGGTGGAGGGAGTTTGGGAACCTCCCTGGGCAGACCTCCTCTGCCTGCCAAGCCTCCAATGAAACCACAGCTGCATGAGCTCAACCTTACTGTTTGCCAACTTCTAATAGGCATTGAAATGCTTTCATATATTCCAAAGGAATATTGATGTTATAAGCAGTATTTCATGGGTCTACAGGCTTTGCCATGCCTCAAGGAGACCTAAAATAGATTTAGTCTAGACTTCACGACTTTCAAGAGTGCATGGCATAACAGAGAGGGTCCAGGCCTGGGAGCCAGATCCCACACACCAACTCTGTCCCTGTTGGTATCTTAGGCTATTTCTGCTGCCACAGTAGAGACAACAACATTTTAAATGCTCAGCATCCCTATGTTCTAAGCAGGACAAGATACCGCTGTTGGTTACTGTGAATATTAGCACTCCTGTATTACATTACCAAGACCAACTATAAGCTCTCCCAGTCATGATGGATCAGCACAAGTGACGGCAGGTTTTTTAATCCTTCTGTCTTACTGTCCCCTTCTATAATGCTTGCTCTGTGAGGTGCTGTTAGCAGTTACTTAAGGAAGTAATTTCTGATAATGAAGGTGATAAGATGCTGGAACAGGTTGTCCACAGAAGCTGGGGATGGGGCTTTGAGCATCCTACCTAGTGAAAGATGTCCCTGCCCATCACAGGGGGGTTGTATGATCTTTAAAGGCCCCTCCCAACACAAACCATGCTATGATTCTAAGTACTAAATGCACTAAATGTACTAAATGCACTTAACTTTAAAATTATAAAATTATTGCAAACCTCCCTTCCCTTCCCCTTTTCCTCCTGCTCCTACCTCCGTAGGAAGAATGGGAGTAGACTGTGGTATGGGTGATGAAAAGCTGGTACTCACATTTTCCTTCTGCACTAAGCTAGGAGCTAAGGGAGATTTTATTTCCAGTCCTTCAACACTTGCATGACCTCACAGAGCTAATTGGTGAAAAGTTTTCAAGATTTTTCCTGCCCAGTAGTGTCAGTTGCAGTCACCAGACCTTCCCCTCAAAGACAGCCTATCAAAGTCACCACTGCCATCTCTGACCATGCCAAGCACAAGCACAGGACCTTGACTATTTCAGTGAAGCTCTGAGGGTCAAGGTGACATCAGGGCCCTGCCGTCCTCCACTGTGAACAAAAATACAAATGCAGTGACTGCCCCGATGCATTCAAAGGTGAAGAGCGGAAGAGGAAGGAGAAGAAATGGCTGCTGAGGGCAGAGCCCTCACACCCTGCCCACAGCCAAGCACGGGGAACCCCACCGTCTATCCAAGCTGCCAGTGACAACCAGCTCTGGTGGGTCTTAATGCCAACTAAGATATAGAAAACATTTCAAAACTAACTTCTCACTCCTTCAGCTTCCTGGATGGTAAATAGCAGCAGCATCTCCTCCTCTCACCGAGGTGCTTGGGGAGTTTCCTTCAGTCGCACTAAGCAGCAGTTTGGAAGACACCACACAAGTGCAAGTATGATTTACTTTAGCACCTTTACGTACACATCAAATTCCTGATCTGACTCACGTTGTTGTGATTGCACTGGTCCAAGGTATCAACCCTACCTTCACCCAAGCTGCACGTTTCATGTAGCAGCTTAGCCTTCACCCATCCTACCACATCTGGGGTGCTGGTGCCCATGCCCAGGTACTTGTGGGGGGCTGCAGGTGTAGGTATAGGACCTGGTACAGGCTCTTCACCCCATCATGGAGACAGAGTTCTCTCTCTAATGTTCTTCCTTCTAATCTTAACTGTTTTTATTTACTAATCATTTGTATTCCAGAAAGCTGGGCCTCCTTCCACCTCATTCCACAAACCAAGACCTGAAGCCTGTCTTTTCCATTTTTCCCTCAGTAAACACAGAAGCAGAGAAAAATTGGCAGGAAGAACCCCCCCGGGTCTCCAGTCCAACCTCCCATCTTGTAAACAAGACTGGTTATTTTCCTCTGTAAAATCAAGCATGTATTTTTTGTTAGTTTTATTATGTCAGTTAATGGCAGCCTTTTTAATGTTTAAGAAAAAATTAAAGCTTTACACACCACACACCTAAAAGCAAGCTAATACAAGAACCAGAGCCAGTTGTGAGATACCTGAAAGCAAACACATCACCATCTGAAAGCCTCAGAGTGGCATTTCAAGCCACCTGTGCCACAGCACCAAGCTCTTGGCCTTTGCTCCCCTCATGATCATTTCTGGGAAAGTGTATTTCACACCTTCCTACCCTTATGTAGGAGACAAAAAATAAACAAGCTGTTACTATTTAAATGAGGCTTGAAATGTTACTAAATATTTCCAAAAGGACGTATATTAGCTGTTTGCTCTGTGTGACATATTACAGATCACTTCATTGATACGTGTGACTACCTGTTTATAAAATCAACTGAAACAAAGGAGTTTTGGTCTATCACATCTAGGGTCTGCTATAGCAGGGCTACATTGATGTATCATAAATGTTAGGGTCTCTATCACGTCTAGGGAATGCAGCAGGGATACATTCATAAACATCATGTCTCTACCACAGTTAATATTAAAAATGTATTTACTTGTATCACTACCAAACTCTAACATTAGCAAAGAGGGACCCAAGCTAGAAATGTTTCCATGTGGAAAAGACAAAATACAAAGCTGAGGGCAGCCTGGGCTTTGGCTGCTGCTCCACTTCCCACATGCTCTGACACAGGCCAGGCACAAGCCCACAGCTGCAGTTTCCACCACGTCAACCAGCACAGAGCAGCACGTTTCTACAACAGCAGCTCAATGGTTGCCAGAGGACAGTGATAGAGGATCGAACACCAAGCTGCAAGGATACAGCACCTGGCAGAAAGCTGTCCAGGAAAAGCCACCTTCCCTAAGCAGCTTTCACAGTCCTGATACCTGTGTTTCATTCTTTACCTTGCAGCACTCATTCACATCCTTACTCTCTCATGTCCAAACACCCCAGTAAACCAGCAGCACACCCCAAGGGGTCTACGTGCTGATGACCTGCAGGCACACAAAGGGAGCAGTCCCTATGTAGGCAGTAAGGCTCCAAATTCTTGAGCCACACTCTCCTTGCACAGCTGGCAAGTCCTTTCCAGCTGCACACCCAGTCCTGTCCCACAGGGCTCACCCCTGCCTGGGCAGGGCACTGCACAAGGCAATACAATGCAAGTTATTTTGGCACAGATTTTGCTCAGCTTTCAAGAAGAGGTGCTTTACAGTATGATCAAACCTATGGCTCAAAATTCTAAGTGTTGAGTCGATCATAAGTTGTTAGTTGTTGCTTTTTCTTTTACGTGCTGTTAAGTTGGATTTTTCTTCTTCTTTCTAAGTTACTGACAACTGTCCCCCGACCCCAGCTGAGATTTATACAGGGCCACATAGGACGCTGACCTTCTGTAATCGGTGAAAAGATCAAAAATTTCAGTCCTTCTAACTGTAAGAAAAAAGCAAGGCAAGCAATCTTTGAAGTCCAGCTATCCTAATGCTGAAGAGCTTATAACAGTACAAATGTGATGGCTTCTATCACCACAGAGAACTGTGATGCTCCACCCACACTGAAGGTGTTACTGGCATGACATACCCTTCACCAGCTCAACTTCACCGGTAATGCTAAAATGTGTCCCTGGCATGGAACCAGCAGTTATCCAGGGAAGCCAAGCAGCAGGGAAGAGGTTTTCAGAAAAAAAAACAGGGAGAAGTGGACTGGACTGCGCTGGTTCAATAAAGTAAAGATAATGGTGGTTGGTTAGGTGGGCTGGAAATGGGACTGGATCCCTGCAGTGGCCCTGCTTCAGAGCCTGGGGGTTCCCAGTACAATCCAGATCACATCAAGGACCCCCACAAACTGCTCCACACAGTGTGTAATGGGATGTTGTCTTGCCTCATCCACCCACCTCTGCTCTCCACCAAGCCCTAAGGAAGCAGCCTACAGCTCTGGGCACTGCTCTTGAGGTAGAGACCTCTGCTCCCAAAACAGAGGAGAGCTTTTGGGGGCTCCTCTGTACTCCTTCGCAGGACTGGGGCTCGGCCAGCACCTAGACAAGGCCCCAGATTTCAGGTGAGGGCCCTGGCGATGCCATTCCCTCGCTCCACGTCCTGCAGCTCCTGGCCACGTGCAGGTTCTGGAGCACCACGAGGCCACCAGGCCATGCCTGGCACAGCAAGAGCCCCACCACAGCTCTGACTGGGAATATAATAAAGGGTTTCTAGGCAGAAGGACAGTTGCACCAGGTTTTCCTGACCAAGGCATTCAAAGAGATGACTCTCAAAGAAAACACTGTCTTCCAAAACACCTCGTAGCAATGACGCTCCTATGTGCAAATGCACAGTCTTTCCACGGCTTTGGGCTCCTCTTTCTCACCAGGCTGCTCTGCAAACCCCATCTCAGATCAACCCATCCTCTGGCAGCACAGACCAGCTCCCACCACCCACACAACCCTGATGCAGGGGAAGCTGTGGCCAAACCTCCCTTCTTCTAGCACGGGAGCCAATTTGCAGGAACCCATTCAATAATTTCCATACAAAATTTCTTCTGCTGCCTTTTCCAACTCAGGTTTTAAGGCAGAAACGACCAAGAGAGAGAACCCATCCCTTCTCTTGGTCATTTCTTCCAGTGGCTAATCGCCTTGCAATTAAAGACCTGTGCCATAACTTCAGATTCCAGTTGCCTACTGTCTCATCTGGCTCCCCAGCCACTGGTTCCAGCTACACCTCCCACTGCTGCATTACGCAGCCCTTCCCTGCCTCATGTATTTCCACCAGCAGCAATTCACACACGGATCATTTTTCCTTCAAGGTGATGGGGGGTACAACTGCAGGATCTGCTGACAGATCTGAGACATCAATAGCTGTGGAGATGCGACAGCAGAGGCTTCAGCACAGGCAGGACAAACCTGCTGGGAAATGCTAAGCGATATGCAGCCAGACCCTGATTTCCAAGATCCTGCTCCACACTGATACTCACACCTGTATCTAAAGAATACGGCACCACATCAGGATGAGTTAAAAGGCATTTCATTCATACAGGTCTGGCTTGCAAACAACTGAGGATGCTCTGCACACCTGGCTGTCCCCGTGCTCATGTTACCCTGCATTCCTCGCAGGCGCTGCCTTCAGCTTGGCGGAGCTGAGGCACCGGGTAAGCACCTCGCTGCTTGTCATCCATCTCATGTGCAGCGACAGGCAGCCACAATCCTCTCCCAAATGTCCCCTGGCACTTCCCAGAGCCAGAATTCAGGAAACGCTCAGGAAGGCTGCTTTAGCACAATGCAGCTCTCTGAGAAATGCTGTCCTCCACCAAACCGGGAGCACGGCAAGCACAGGGCAGGCAGGCACTGCACCTGCATGTATATAGGTATAAATAAACCTCAGGGAGCTGCACATGGACTGCTGCATGCCTTGAAGGACCCCACGCACTTTGCTACATAAGGCAGGCTGACTCAGATTAGAGGCAGCTGTGGCAAGGGGAACCGTGGCCCATACACAGCAGTGATGGGTCCAAGAGGCAGGTTGTTTCTTTATTCCCTCTCTCACATTCTCCATAAATCTAGCCAGGAGGTAAGCAGGTGTTTGGTGTTAAAGCCATCAGCCAGCAAGGAGACAGAAAATAATGCATCCTCCCGTGCTTCAAAGCAAGATCTGTATCACCTTGCTGCAAACAGTCAAAAGCTTCCTGAGCAGGTACGCATCTTCCTCTGTGCTATTTCTGTTTGCAGCCCTGCACCCTTCTCGGCTTGCCAAGCAGGACCTTACACCACGTGGCCACCCTACACCAGGGCCAGCAGCAGAGGGTCGGGGCAGCAAGCCCCCCACCTCCAGCAGAAGCACGGAGACCAGCTCGGTGGCTCCCCCAAGGTTCAGAGAGACCCCCCCCCCCTCATATTTTCTAACTGGTGCAAACACAAACCGCTTTGTCCTCCTCTGTCGCTCTGGGGACCGACCCGCTGGACGTGACATCCGCCCCGAAGCAGCAGCCACTTGCACCAGCGACAGCAGCCTCCGTGAACGCGTCCCCAAATCTCTGGCACCACTCCAAGCTGCAGTGCACCACACCACAGGTGCTGGCACGAGCCTGCTCTAAATCCACATGCCAGGAGCAAAGGATGAGCCCCAGAGCTCCTGCAAAGCCCAGAAACACCTTCCAGGTCACAAGCCCAGCATTTCCCCTTGCCATGGCCTGTCAGTGCCTGCGCAGACCAACGGGGGAGATATATCTGTTTGTGTGCATGCACACACCTACAGATAAATATATCTGACATTTTTTTATGGAGATATAACTCATGTAAGCCCTACCTTGCAATTCCTAGTATGGCTGCACCAGATAATTACAGAAAAAGCGATACTGTAGTAACCCACTGAACATCTTCATCTGAAAAGTAACAAAAAACACAAGATTCCAATAGATTAAAAATTCATAGAAATACGAATTTTCCCTACCCTTGCTCCACAACCTCAGCACTATGGGCAGCTTCCCCTACCAGCAATTCTTGGTGTAAAAGTCGGTGAAATACACACAGCTGGGAACTGTAAGCACTCTTTGCAAAGCATTCTGATTAAAAACAGGAAGATATGGTTCAGATCCTGCAAAGAATTAAGCACAAGCTCAAAGTTTAGCAGATAATTAAACCGAAATCTTTGCTTTGGTTCGGCAGGGTCACGGGGAGAGACGAACACAACCGCACAAATGGGCTGTGCCATCGGCAGACACAACTCCATCCGTTTCAGAAAGCAGTTGGCTCCCACAAAAGTTATATTCCACGCACGCAAGTTCACGCAGGGCACCGATCTTCCATTTTAAGAACCACTTCATATACATAATCCATTTTTGCAACAGATGGGCCGTTCACCAGAGGCAGGTCTGAGCCTTCCCTTATTTTCACTATTGCTGAGCTGCTCCCACGCTGCATGGCCATCAGCACCCAGACCAAGCAGGGGATGCAAAATCGTTTCAGCCCTGTGGAGGCAGGGAGCTTGCGCTGCTCTCGCTGTGCCCGTGCAGGGATGCTGGAGGTAAAGATGCACGGCCTATGTCACACCTAACAAGCACAGAGGCATTCCCAGTGGCTGGCAAATTGCACCTGCACAGCTAACTACCTTCATATAACTTAAAATACACAAAGGCACAGTCGTATCTATCAGAATTATTGCACTGCTAACCTAGGGGTAAGCTTATGACTTAATGCTGTTAGAAGGGAGAGAAAGGGAAAAAAGAAAAAAACAAACAACAGAAGTTAGAGGTTTGTTTCCAAAACAATGCAAAGTATGCATAAAAACACTCCAAAGTCCCTGGGGTGTGAACTGGCACTTATCAGAGACACACAGCACCTAGCACAAAAGAGCATCCGACTGGTCCACGTGCTAGGAAAATACACATGCTTATTATATAATTTTTAAAATCACAGTGGAAAGGAAATGGTGTTTGTAAGACGTTACCGAATATTGCACTGCAACATCATTTCTAACAGAGATGTCAACACTTCTGAGCTAGATTTTTTTAAAAAATACTCGTATTTTACAGCAATAGGTACTAGTGCTGTTATGACAATCCAAACCAGTGGCACAAACTGATATTGACAAGCCTATTTCTGCTTGATGAAGAAACAAACAATCTCATTCTGTACAGCCATAACACATCCACAACACACTGGCTAATACGGTCTAACATACCTCCAGACAAGCTCATCAGGCGCATGTTTCGTTCCAAATCAATGCCTCAAATAATGCCTATTTTGGAACAAACACATTAGCAAAAAGGAACTAGCACGGGGTTCGCACCGCCCTGCCTCTGACCAGATACGTGGACAGGCCAACATGCCTAAACTTGTCAACACAAATGTGATTAAAAGAGATTTCTGCGCAGGCCTCCAGCATCTTTCAGGCAGGATTATCAGTTCTGCTGGCATTTCTCCGCAGGGTATTTTAAGATGCACTAACCGACAGTTCGCTAGTTTAAGACTCGAGTCCTGAAGTGCCTCGTCGACGAAAACATTTTACCACCGCTTATCCATAACCAGGAGATGTGGCCTCTCCAAATTAACCCGGGCTTCCAAAACCAAATAAACAAACAAACCGAAAACAGGCTTTTTTTTTTTTTTTTTTTTTTAAGGAAAAGGAGGCCTAAGCCCTTCTTGCATCCTCCTCCTAAGGCCTCGGTGGCACCCAGCTGGCATCAGGAGGGCTCGGGCCGGGACCCGCAGCCCCCCGCACCCCCCCGGCTGCGCGCATCGCACAGCACCAACGCCCCCCGCAGCCGGCACCCCCGGACCCCCCCTGCCCACCCCGAGCTGCCCCGCTCCGAAACGGCTTGGCAGGGCCTCGGGGAGCACCCCCCGGCTGTAGGGCCGGGATATGGGGGCCAGGGGGAAGGGGGGGAGACGCCGCCGGGGCATTCCCCAACCTCCCGCACCCCGACCGCCACCGACCTTTATGGCCGCGATGGGAGGCATCCCGACCCCTTCGCCTCCCCATCCGCAGGGATTTGGCTCCGCACGCTCTATTTTTAGCCCACCGTCGCCCCCAACGCTTTAAAAAGACTTCAAAAAAATAAGAAAATAAAAGGAAAAAACAAAAACAACAACCACGCACACACACGAACCCTCTCCCCACCTCCATCCGCGCCAACGCTGCAAAACTCCACCGCGACCTGCGAGCCCCACAGCGGGGGGGAGGGGGAGTGGGGGGGGGAGGGAGAAATGATTAAAGCAAGGGGAAAATAACAATAATAACAATGATAATAAAAGAAGTAAAGAGCACACATGCAAACAACCTCCCCTCACCCCACCGCCGTTAACTGCAAGCCCCGGTACTCACCGCGCCCTTTCCCCCCCACCCCCCCCCCAAAAAAAAAACAAAAACAAAAACAACAACCTCTCTCTGAGAAAGGGGTCCGGAGGGCCGGGAGCAAAATAAATAAATAAATAAATAAAAGAAATAAAAATAAGCCACAGAGCGCTGCAAAGGAAAATAAAAAAGGCAAAGCAGCGCGGAGCGCCCATGTGCTCGGCGGAGCACGCGCTCGCCTCAATGGAACGTTGTGCTGGCGAGAGGCTCGTGACGTCACCGCCCCCCCCCACACTCCCCCCTCTTTTTGGGTTCGCGAAGTGCCCGGGGATGGATGGAGGGGTGAAGGGTCGGAGGGTCCCGCACACCTTCCCCAGAATGAAAGGAGGGGGGTAGGCAGCCCCCGTTCGGGCTAAGGGTGGTGGTTGGCAGAGTGTGTGTTGGGTTGGGGGGGGGGGGGGATAATAATCGAAAATGCGGATGCTGGTGGAGCAGGAAAAGCAGAGCGAATCTCCACAATGCGGGCAAAACAAGCGCTATTTTCCCTTTTATTGATGTATTTGATTACTTTCAGCAAGTAAAAATGTAAGAAGTAAAAAAAAAATCTGGAACACATGTCCTGTGAGGAGCGGCTGAGGGAGCTGGGGGTGTTTAGTCTGGGGAAGAGGGGGCTCAGGGCAGACCTCATTGCTCTCTGCAACTGCCTGAAAGGAAGGTGTGGGGAGCTGGGGGTCGGCCTCTTCTCACAGGTAGCTAGTGATAGGACTACAGGGAATGGCCTCAAGTTGTACCAGGGGAGGCTCAGGCTGGAAATGAGGAGACATTTCTGCTCAGAAAGAGCAGTCAGGCACTGGGACGGGTTGCCCAGGGAGGTGGTGGAGTCCCTGTCCCTGGGGGTGTTCAAGGAGAGGTTGGATGTGGTGCTTGGGGACCTGGTTCAGTGGGTGACATTGGTGGTAGGGGGATGGTTGGAGCAGATGGTCTTGGAGGGCTTTTCCAACCCTGATGATTCTGCAGTTCTATGAAATGAAAGGCATCCTCCTCCGTTCAGGGCTGGAACTGGAACCTTCAATGCTAGGTGATTTTTATTTTTTTTCTACACAAATTTTGCTCCATCCAGGAGCAACTTTGGGAGAAGCAGGAGCTGCTGCATGTTCTCCCCACTGCACGCACACCCCAACGGTACCCATCAGATGCAGTGCCTGGGCTAGAAGCTATTTGTGCCACACCAAGCTCACCTGCACAGCACACATCCATACCCAGCTCAGGTGAGATGTTCAATGTAATTCTGAAAATGTGAATAGCGAAAGCCATTTCAATTAATCAGTGAGTATGGTCCTGACTCCCCGACAGCTCTTTGAATGGTGCAATAAAAAGCTCATCTGCAGGAACAGCCCAGTCATTGCAAATGCAAAAGGTACAAAATGAGGGTACAAAATGAGGCTTTGTCCAAAGTGACTCTGTGGTCTAGCAGTTTGAGCCAGGCACAGAAAGATGGATTGGAAAAAAACAACTTTGCATGCTCATGGTGAGAGCTGGGAGAGCTGTCCTGAGCGGGGGGACCCGACCTACCTCCAGGGAGCTGCTGTGCCCCAGTGGGACAGAGGAGGTGACATGAAGGTGGATTTGGGCCACTCTCTCCCACCTGGCTGCAGCCCGGGTCCCAAATAAGTGACCTCCCAAGGTCAGTGAACCTGGGATAAAGACCAAAATCTGGGGGTCCTGATGGAAATGAGAGATCCTTCCATCAGAAAGGGCTTGAGTGCTGGAGCAGCCTCGCACATTATTTCACCAAGAGTGTTCCCATTTTGGGGGCTGGCAGAAACAGTGGCACAGAGCTGGCCCTGTGCCTCCATGTGGATATTGCCCTTATCGGGGCCCTGATGGCTGCTTCACAGCTTCTGGATGCCAGAGAGGAAGAGAAATATGTATCAAACAGCCCCCAAAATTGAGTTTTCATTCCTTTCTCCCTAGGACTCCAGTCCTTCTTCTGCAAAACGCACGCAGAGCTGCTGTTCCACATTACCTCCAAACGAAGCTGCGATTCCCAGCTCCCCAGACTCGCCTGTGTGCTACATGGTGCCAACTCCATGTGCCATGAGGAGACAGAGGCATCTCCACCCAGTGGCTGCCCGACTACCCAGAGAAGCCACCCATGGTCGCACAGGTTGCTGTGGCCACCCCCGGTGAGGCAGCTCCGGTGATCAGAAGTCAGGGTGCAGGCCCTGTGAGCACCCACAAACCCTCCTTTGGGTCAGAGCCCCTTCAGGGCACAGTCAGGAGGCTGGTGGTGGGGTGTCAGCTGGCTGCCAAGCATTCCCCCCAGCCCTGGCATGGGAGATCGGCAAAGTCTTGAGTGTCTCTCATTGCAGGAGGAAACCCCACAATCCTCTTTCCACAAACACGTGTAATATCTGCTCAGTGCCTGCATTGTTTAGCTCCGCAGCCTGCGTGGTGGTCTCACTCTGCAAATTATCCAGCGTTACAGGCTGAATAAGCTCGGCCTGTGTCAATCAGTGTAATCACCTTTGCGACAGCCCTGCACACCCACGTGAGGTGGTGGCACTGCTCTGAGCTCAAACACAGCAAGGCCAAGGCCAAATGATGCGACGTGCTCTCACAAGGCCAAAGGAAGAGCAAGAGGCATGCTGAAAAATAAATAAATAAATAAATATATAAACATATGTGCCAGCTGAAGGCTTCTGCCCTCCGGCAGCCTGCTGTTGCTTCCCTGTCTATGCCCGTACCAGCCCTGCCGGCTGCAGGGATCACATGAGAGCTGCTTAATCCGTGTCAGGCGGAGCTGGCCAAGCGAGGTGAGGTGCCAGCAGGGTGAACAGGAGCTGTGCTGCCTGTGGTTAGCGTGGCATAGAGGTGGCAGTCTCCAGCTGGTGAGCATGGGCCTCTGGAACAGGGAGGTGCAACGAGGCTGGGGTGAAAATTATCATCCCCCAGCCCAGATGCAGGGCATGGGGAGACACATAAGGAAAAAACAGCTGAGAATGTGTCATCATTGTGGCAATACTTTATAGTTCCTATCATCCAGGGACTGATTCTGTTCCAGGTTGACTCTAGAGCTATCCCAAACCCTACATGAACTCAAATGCTGGGAAGAAAGGGCTGGGTCATTGCGTCTGTTGCTCTCCTACTAGAAACCATCATTTCACACATCCTGCCATAAGGCCTTCAAGGTGAGCATTGGTGTCCTGTCCTCACCTCACCTTCTGGGATATTACCTTGGAGCTTCACCTCTCCGAAGGTCAGAAAGCACCTAATTTCCATCCTGAATGTATTCAAAGCGTTTGCCCACCCGTCTGCTCTGCAGCAGGTGTTAGGATTTGACAGAACCAGCTCTTCTCACCCTTACACATACCTCCCTGTTGTGTTGGCCCATATCAAGTTCATTCCGTGATAAAATAAAGGTACCAGGCAATGGTGTTCTCATAATTTATTTATATTCCCCTGCCTTTTAATTTAAGTACTCATATTCATCTACTGAAAATGTGTTCCCGTCCCCAAGCAGTGATCTGTCCCCAGGGTGTGGTGACTCACCCAGGGCTTTGGGGGTGCAAAGCTCCAAGAACGAGGAGCAGGTGGCAATAACAGGGCAGAAGCAAAGACTGGAAACTCTCTGAAGCTGGTAGAAATCTCCCACTGCCTGCTGTGTGCTCTCAGTGTTGAATGTAAGAGGAAGAGGAGAGGAAGGTATCATGGTAGTACTATAGATACTCAAGAAATGTCTTTGCCCAGAGCTGTGGCAGCAGATTGCACCATCACCATAACCAGTCCCACTCCCCAGCTTACATGCAATTTTGTTCTGATGTAAACATGTCACTGGATTTCTGCCCATCCATTCCTTTCCATGAATTCTCCATAACCATAGGTTGGCACCTCTCTTGGGGTACATTGGGCACGGAGAAATATAATGCAGAAAGGAAGCAGAGAGATGATTGATTTTGTAATACAGCTCCCTTAGGCGCGATGTTGCTCAGGCCCCAGAAATGCATGCTGAATCCTTCTCTAAAAGACTGTAGGGAAGACGTTTGGCAAAGAATTGGGAACGTGTTCCAAGGAGAAGGAGATTCCTTCAGGCCCTAATTCAGAGCAGCTTAGCAGTGATGCCAGAGTGACAAAAGAGGGTTGATATGAAGCACTGAAATAACAGGCTTGCTTCGGATGGCCCAACTGCAGGAGCATGTGATTCAGATGCTCTGTATATTCTCCATGCCTGTGGAACTCAAAATAAATAAATAAATACATAAAAACAATAATAATAAAAAAGTGACGTTTTAAATTGATGTCTTTCTGAGTCTGCAGCATGAATGATATAATAGGACAGAGAGGTGCAAAAACTCTATTTGAAATTATGGAGGGAATTTCAGATAAATAACATGGATGTGATTTAATAAATAATAAAGCAAAAGAAAAAAAAATGTCTGCCTTACTAAATTTGTGCTGGACTGATAGGATTGAAAGTAGACCCAGAGATGAGCATGCCTGAGTTTTGAGGAGAGTTAATAAAAGCACAGGCTGGAGGTTTGACATCACAAGTGAAAAAACAAATGTGAGAGAAGGAAGAGAGAATTGAGGAGAGAGAGGCAGCACCATTTGGGTCCCAGCCAGATTTCCCAAGGAAGTGCCTGAAAAAGACTAAGTGAGTCGTTGGGGAGAAGGAACTGAGTTTGTTTTGTGTGAAGGGCAAAAGATCAGGCCAGAAGCTGCAGGCCTGGGAGAGGAAGTGAAAAGTGGTGCTGTCAGCAGGGACAGAAAGCCCAGGGCATGAAGAACATCATCAGATGGGTGGTAAGAATTGTGGGTCTGGTTATAGGAGATGGCACAAGCCCACTGAAGCCAATGCCATGGTGTTAGGTGGATGTTCCACAGTGACAGGACCTGAGGGAACGGCATGGAGCTGGGACAGGGGAGGGTCAGGCTGGGGGTTAGGGAAAGGTTCTGCACCCAGAGGTGGTCGGGCACTGGGACAGGCTCCCCAGGGCAGTGGTCACAGCACTGAGCCTGCTGGAGTTCGAGAAGTGTTTGGGCAATGCTCTAAGACACATGGGCTGATTTTTGGGTGGTCCTGTGTGGATGGTCCTTGTGGGTCCCTTCCTGCTCAAGATTTTCTACAATTCTGTGATTCTGTGACTCTATGACATGGCGTGCCAAGGGGATGTCCACCAGGAGATGCTCAGTTTGAGAAGCTTGAGATAGGGACTGCGTGTCTTGGCAGCAGCAGAGGACAGAAGCAGCATGTGAGGCACCACCAGGCTCTGGAGAAGAGCCTCGTGCCTGCTTTCCCGCGGGGGAAGCGCTCAGCTCCAGGGAAAGCAGCAGGGCCCTGCCCTCCTCACACCGGGCTCCTGTTGCTAAATCGGAGAGGAAACTGTTTAACTTGTCGGTTATTCTTTGGCACCTGCGATTGTGTTAGACACTAGAAACAGGTCAGACCAGCCAAGCTGGCGTAAACCACTGCGGTATCCCCAGGGTCCTTCCCTTTCTGTTTACTTTTTTAGCCTTTACGCTAATCTCTCCCTCTATAACAAACACACAACATTCATAGAAGCCATTTTCCAGCACGAATGACACCGGCAGCCCCTGGAGTGTCACAGCAGGCTTTTTGGCACAGCAAAGACATGACCTGATGTTGGGAGCGGTGCTCAATGCCCTTCCAGCAGCAGGATGGAAGCAGAGGGTAAAGAGACAAAATGCACACTGGATCCTCTCCTCTCAAGCCCAGTTGCTATCTGCACACACACTTTTAGAGCTGAACCTTCCCAAAGTGCTTGTTTTTGGATGTTCCCCAAACCCACCTGGGGTGCCTGGAGCAGGAGCTGGGGCTCGGCTGGGTCCTTTGGGGGCTTGGACTGGCTAGGTTGTGGTTGCAGCGCTGTGATCTTCCTCAAGAGCAATTTAGGGACTTTCGTACATTTTAGCATAGCTGGTGACAGTGGCACCACTGCCCGCTTCTTGTACAACACCCCAGCACCTCCCTAAGAAGCAGGAGACCTGGTTTGACACCCTTCTTTGCATCTGCTCCCAGGCTGCAAGGAGCCTTTGGCCTCTGCGGGGCCCTTTCTTCCCACGTCCCAAGGAAGAGGTCACGGTGTGGGCAGGATTCTCTCCTGAGAGCTGCAAGCCCATTCCACAGCCATGACGATGATGATGCTACTACACTACAAGGCATAGCGTTTCCCCCTGGGACAGAAATATGAATATGGGTGGATGGTTAACAACTACTAAGGAAAATCCACAAGCACTGGACTGCAGGAAGGAGGGAGAAGTACCAGGCTTGGGCAATTCTCATAAGCTGCTCACCAGTTTAGTCCCAAAGAGTGACCCATTTTGAGTCCTGAGCCTCAAGCCAGACACCCATGCAGCTGGTATTCCATGAAGAGATTTAAGCAATTGCATAGGACAGGCAAAAACAGAAAGCAGGACAGCCACAGCACTCACACAAGTAAATAAATACCAGGTTGTGCCCCTTCCACATGGCAAGCCATGGTCATTAATTTTGCACTGTGTCGGGGAAACAGAGGAAATGGAAGCAATTCAGAAGCAGTAATGATCAGTGAAGTCAGACAATGCCCCTGAGATGCATATATATATCGTACCCAAGCTCACAGATACATAAACTGAGGTGTAGATATGCAAAATGCGTTGCCTGTGGCCACACGGGACATGCACATTGCCTGCTGGCTGCTGTAACCAAGAGGGACCGACCCCGGGCTGCTGATCTCAGCACTGGGTGACAGACAGGGCTAGCTAAGTGAGTGGGATAACCACGGCTGGCATCTCTGCTGTGTCATGATTCACAGCCCTTAATCGCTGTTAAACAAATCCAAATGAAATTACACGTAAAGAGCCGGGAACTACAGAGTCTGAAAAAATGCAAACATGTTCTTCCCCATCAAATCTAATTAGATTTGCCAAAATCAGTGTGCATTGATCTGTGATTCAAACAGTATGCTGATAACAAATTTTCATGATAGACATGGTTATGAAGCTACTTGCCTAGACTATGAATTAGCCCCTTCAGCAGGAGCTCTCAGCACATTTTCTCAGCGTGCTCTTCCACAGGCAGCTTTTAATCCAAAAATCAACACACAATCCCATTGTTTAAGGTTTGCTGGGCTCTCTGCTGAGTGTCCAGCAGAGAAGTGAGGCAGGCAGCGTATTCATGTTGACGATCAATCTCTGTTAAAATCAACACACCATTTTTAGCCACCCAGCTAAGCACGCTGCAGTACGTGCTGGGAAAAGACCTTTCCACCACTGGGCAGAGAAGCTCATTCTGTTGTCATGCTGCGCAACTTCACCTCGGCGATGATGGGTAGAAAAAGCAGAGCTTTGTATAAAGAGAATCCCATAAATAATCATGGGCTATCACTCCAGAAGGCCAGCACAGCACAGATACAGCTTGCTGTTATTTGCCTGTGTCCAGTCTCTGCCCTCAGCCTTCAGGGATGTCTGATGTGTTTTTCTTCTCAGCCCATGATCGTGAAGTCACGCTGATCTTCTGCTCGCAATGGTTTGTCACAGTACCAAGTGGCCACAGCAGGTACCAGCGAATGGAGATGATAAAATCAGAGCAGAGCAGGTAAGTCTTAAAGAGGTCAAAGCAAATCCTGAAGTGTCAGGAGAGACCGAGGGACAGGATTTTCCATTTGTGCTCGGTTTCAGCTGAGCTTTGCATCCACTGACATCTGAGAGCTTCTGAAAATTTGACTCCCCCGTGAGCTGGAGTGCATCAGAGTGTAAAGTTACCCAGAAAGAATGGCAGAGGGCAGGCAGTGCACTTGTATCTGTCTGTACCCCAGATTTATCCCATCCCTGGTATCTTTTCATCCAGAAATCATTATTTCTTTGGGAGAGTAAAACCGCAGTAGTTTTTTGGCCTGATCTTTAAAAGTGATGAAGATCCCCAACTGCAGCCCAAGGCAATGGGACCTGCAAACTCTTGGCACCTCTGAAAATTGACTTACTGTGTGTTAAACCATGTGCAACAGCCCTGTGCAACCCTGTCCCTGGCCACAACCAAGGCATTGAGCATGGAGCGCTGGCACAGGTTGCCCAGAGAGGCTGTGGGGTCTCCTCCTTGGAGAAGTTCACAAGGTTCCTGGATATGGTCCTGGGGACCCTGCTCTGGGTGTTCCTGCTGGAGCAGGGTGGGACCTGGTGGACCCCAGATGACCAGATGCTCCCTCCCTACCTCAACCAGTCTGTGTTCCTGTGGCTGACAGGGAAGGGCATGGCGGACACCCAGCATGCCAGCTACTTCATGGTGGCCCTCTGTAAGCAGGAGGTTTATCTCCGCGTAGAGATAAACCACCAAGTGTTTACTACAGGGACCGACAGGCTGGATAGTGTCATTCCCAGCACAGTGGAAGTTATTGTGCAATTTCACAGCATTACTAGCCTCCGTGTT